TCAAACGCTGGAGTTTCCCCCTTGAGGTGGGATGGCCAATTGACATCTGACCCAAAAGCACAGGCGGAGATACTCAATCAGCAGTTCCAGTCGGTCTTTGGTGACGGTAGAGAGTACTCTGAGACTGAGTTCCTTCTGAAGACAAAAATGATGAACAGAGCCTATCCTATCATGGGAGATATCCAGATATCAGAACAAGGTGTGTTTGCCCTCCTCAATACCATTAACCCTTACAAAGCATGTGGTCCTGACAACATTAAACCACGAGTGCTCAAAGAATTGGCCAAAGAAATCGCTCCTGCACTGACAATCCTCTTCCAATCGTCACTATGCACAGGAAATTTCCAGCAGACTGGAGAACAGCGCATGTCACTCCAATTTACAAGAAAGGAGAGCATTCCGACCCTGCCAACTATCGTCCGATATCCCTCACTAGCGTCGTCTGCAAATTGTTGGAGCACATAATCGTAAGCTCTGTCATGAAGCATCTTGAAAGCAAAAATATACTCAATGACTGTCAACATGGCTTCCGAGTCAATAGGTCATGTGAGACCCAGCTTCTCGAATTTGTAGAAGACTTGATGACCAATCTGGAGAACCACAAGCAGACTGACGTGCTAGTAATGGACTTCGCAAAAGCATTTGACCGGGTGAATCATAGTTTGCTTCTACACAAGCTCCAGATATATGGGATTCAAGGCACCACTAAAACATGGATCTCTAGCTTCCTCAGCCACCGACGCCAAGCAGTGGTGGTGGGCGGTACAAGCTCCTCCTTTGTCAATGTGAAGTCAGGGGTCCCCCAGGGATCAGTCCTGGGCCCCTGTTTGTTCCTAGCATACATTAATGACCTACCGGAGAAACTGACATCACAGGCAAGACTGTTTGCAGATGACACAGCAGTGTATAGGACGATCGCCAACAGATCTGACCAGGACCAGCTACAACAGGATCTCAATCTGTTAGCTGAGTGGGAGATGAGCTGGGACATGGAATTTCACCCTGCCAAGTGCCAGACACTATCAATCTCTAGAAGTTGTACTCCTCTACACTACCAATACAAACTGCACGGCCATATTCTTGAGCAAGTTTCCTCCGTAAAGTACCTGGGTGTTACCATTCAAAGAGAGGTCCGCTGGGACGAGCATATTAACAATGTATGTAACCAAGCAAACCAAGCCTTGGGGTTCTTAAGGCGAAATCTAAAGATTGGCAACTCCTGTGTGAAAGAAAGAGCATATAAAGCCTTTATCCGTCCGATTTTAGATTATGCATCTTCAGTCTGGGACCCATTTACCCAGAAGAGCATTGACAGGTTGGAGGCGGTCCAGCGACGAGCAGCACGCTTTGTCCTAAACCGCTACAGGAATACCTCTAGTGTTGGCAGCATGCTAGAAACACTAGGCTGGTCACCATTGGAGAAACGACGACGACAATCCAGGCTCTCCATGATGTACAAGATAAATAATGGGCTGGTCCACTGTTCCAGTATTAAACAGAAACTCGTCCCTCTCCCCCATAGACAGCGACGAGGCCATGACAGGCAATTCAGGCTCATACCAGCAAGAAGCCAGTATAGGAGCTGCTCATTCCTGCCCAAGACAATCAGGGACTGGAACCATCTTTCAAAAGGAACAGTTGAGGCGACAACACTAGACACATTTGTGTCTATTGCCTCAAGCCTTCAAACCCCTAGTGCATAATTTCCTCATCACCACCAGTAACAGAAACATTGCAAATCCCATCTACATGCATAGGAGCCAAAATGATCAATAAATTGATCGTGGGCCCTTAAGATATAGAAGAAGAAGAAGAAGAAGAAGAAATGTATCCTAACTAAAAAAATAAAAAAAGAATAAGAGTTGGCGCAAACCCAGATAAGAGAAACAAAGTTAAGGAGAACGAAAAGGAAGTGAGTGGGACGAGTGGGAAGAACGAAAAGGAAGTGAGTGGGACGAGTGGGAAGAACGAAAAGGAAGTGACTGGGACGAGTGGGAAGAACGAAAAGGAAGTGAGTGGGACGAGTGGGAAGAAAACTATTTTTAAAAAACCCAAACAAACAGGAAAAAGACATGGCAGCTTCGTCAAATTGTGGATTCGGTTTATATATGCAAGAAGAACACTATTCTAAACAGCGTTTTGGGAGACTTCGTGCTCTCCGTGAATGAAAGTCTCTGGTGCACAGCTGGGGCTGCACAGCTGGGGCTGCACAGATGGCGGTGCATTTTTTTTTTCCTAACTTAAAAGAAAGAAACTAGCCTCCCCCCTCCCCCCCCTCCCCCGAGGAAAAATGTTAAAATGTCATTTGGTAAAGGCCGCTTCCACATTCAGCTCCACATCAGCGAGACGTGGCCAGCATTACGAGAGATAGACGGAGCCATCAGTGGCCGGGCTGAGGAGCTAAGTCAGGCAGGCCGTCCTTCCTCTAGAGGGGTCCGTGACAAAATTGTGTTTCTAAGATGGAATGTTTTATGTCGGGTCTCCGTTTCATTTTTTTATTTTTTTTCATCTGGGATTTAACGACAGGGCGCAGCAACATGAGGCTTTGTCGGATAACGACAGGGCCCAGCAACATGAGGCTTTGTCGGATAACGACAGGGGCGCAGCAACATGAGGCTTTGTCGGATAACGACAGGGGCGCAGCAACATGAGGCTTTGTCGGATAACGACAGGGGCGCAGCAACATGAGGCTTTGTCGGATAACGACAGGGCGCAGCAACATGAGGCTTTGTCGGATAACGACAGGGGCGCAGCAACATGAGGCTTTGTCGGAGGGGCTAGAGTTTTATTTTTAAATCATCAAAAAAGGGAAGAGTTCCTCATGCATGTCAATAATCTAAGATTCTTGGAAACTCTGTTATATAATCATTGATGAATGTAGTGAAATTAACTCTGGTTATACACACGGTTTACAGACTTAATTTAGAGCTCATTAATTTTTATGAAAATACAATTTTCAACATTTTTTTTTTTGTTAAAAAGGATTACAATTTGTGAATGGGCCCGTTTCTAAAATAGTTTACAAATAATGCAAGTTAATGATTATTTTTAATGGTATAGCAGTCAAAACGATTTTAATAGTTTAAATAGTGTTACCCAAAGCTATCAAAATTGTTGATATAGCAGTCGCAAAATGCTAGGTGTACAACTATAATCCAATCAAATCGAAATTCGCACAAAAATAACTGCAACCTTTGCGCGTAAAAATGAAAGTGTACATCAAATTGTATTTGTACACCACTCTGGTTATAATTTTTTAAACCTGGGTGCATTAAAATATTGTCTCAGTAAATTAAATTACCCCTTGTGGCATGTAAGACACTCAAAACTGAGTGGAATGTAACACACTGAACACTGAGTGAATGTAAGACACTGAACACTGAGTGAATGTAAGACACTGAACACTGAGTGAATGTAAGACACTGAACACTGAGTGAATGTAAGACACTGAACACTGAGTGAATGTAAGACACTGAACAATGAGTGAATGTACGACACTGA